AATCTGCACTTCGAGGTTCACCAAGTGCTGTGCCTGCCACGAAATCTGCATTTCGAGGTTCACGAAGTGCTGCGCCTGCCACGAAATCTGCGCGTCAAGGTTCATAGATTCATAAATAAAGTGCTGCACTTGCAAACGAGCCACATGTCCAAAAGTCATGATTCACTGCACCTGTCACGAAATCTGCGCTCCTCGACGATCATCACCATGTCCAAAGTGCTGCACCTGCCACGAAAACTGCATTTCGAAGTCGACTTTGGAGCACTAAAGCACGAGGTTTCCCTTGCGCCTGCCACGAAAAGTGACCACCATGTACGAAAATGCGCACGGCGCCACAACGAGAGCGCTTCAGCGAGCCCGCGCAGTCGAAATGCACTTTGGGGATTTCGAGAGTCCTGAATGTGCTGTAAATAGCAGCGAATTAGCCGGTCACGGCCGCGCGCTTCAGCGATCTAAGCATCAGCTGCCTTTCCCCTATACCGTAAGAATCCCTAGTGTGTCCACACTGCTTGGGGAACGACACATGAAGGAACTCTATGCACTATGTTGTTGACACTTGAACCTGACCGATGTCGCTTATGAGAACTCATTGGACCAAACCCCGAGCTTTTCGCCGTCTCACGGGGCAGACTCCGGAGACTTGAAACGTGAGTGAGGAGTTGATGGAGCGCATCCCCATCCAACTTGAACCTGCTAGCATGGCCTCCAACCTAAAAGCGCTGGCCTCCAACCTAGACAATGAAGAGTCCAAGTGGTGTCTAAGGAGCTGGGCACCTACGTCGGCTTCTCCTCGATGGTTTTGGCCTTTTTGCAAAAGACGGGCGTGGGCAGGACAGTAGAACTCCTTTGTGAGGACAGAAAACCTCTCACGGTGTAGATTTCCAGTTTACCCAGGGTTGGTGCCAGTTGGGGTAGATGGGTGATGACCGAAAGTCAGCTGAAAGACCGGGAAATTCCATCGGTGAACTCTTTCAGTGCTTGTGCAGAGATAAGGACACAAGGACTGAGCTCTTACAATCCTTTGACCATCCAAGACCTGTGTGGCATCCTCATCTCTTTGTCTGAGGCCTTGGGGAGAGATGCCAGCCCGCTGCCACCCTCGCCTGACCAAAGTGAAGGGTGTGGAGCCCTGAGATAAAAGCAAAGGTGACCTGCCATGGGTCAACGTGTGAAGCAGAATCCGAGAATTCATGGGCACACCAGAATAGAAGTGGGATCCCATGCAGACGCCGTGTGCTGAGATGATCCACAACCCTTGCCCATTCCCACAGGTCCTGGAGAGAGGTTTCCACCCTTAACTGAAGCCCATACTTCAATTGTATTCAATTGTAGGGTTCATTGTGGAAACTCCAACGTGTTACTGCCCCAAAAATACAACAAGAAAGCATGTGTAAACAAACTCGCCCTGATGTTTTTCTTCATCACTTCTTTTGATTGCACTTGTCACAAGGCCCAACCAACCATAGGGACTGGCATCTCGGCATTTGCATCTCCCAAGATGCAGAGACGCCTGGCAAGAGGAAAAGTAGATGGACACCATTTAGCAGTGTGCAAACTAGGTCACCCCCTGGTTATTTATATAGAGTAGTTCCCTGTTCTTTTTTAATACCCTCTTGTATAGAACATGAGTTCCGCCTCATGTTCCAGGCAGAAAAAGACACCAATTCAGTCCCATCTCTTTGAGATCGGCCTGGGCGTACCGCCTTTGATCCGGTTTGGCTCCAAGCCTGGAGACGAAGGGCCGGGCCTGCCAGGCTTGGGAGCTGGGGACGACGTGGCGTCGGTCGACTTGTGTCGCGACGCTCTCGTTGGACCCAACGTCAAGCGTCGCGAATCGCGAATCGCCCGAAGTCGAGGTATTTGGGTCGTCTTCGATTCAAGGACGATGTGTTCGTGTATAGGTTTTGGTTCCAGGGGAGTACTGGTAGATCTTTCGCGGTGAATAGAATTCTTCAGCGGCATCATGGCACTGTTATACTGATACTATTCTCGCACTGTTAGTCTCCAGGAACTTTCAGTTTTAAGCTTAAGCTGTATGTCATTGCTTTCTAGACCGCTGTTGGCTCACTTGCCGGCCAAGCTGTCGACTCAAAAAACTCTTTGACATGCTCCCATGGCTTTAATTTGAAAGACCACGCAAGGCAGATATTTTTTGAGATATGCCGTTCCAGTTCTTGGCGTGACAGGATGCCGGTGCGCATCGTCCAGAAAGACGACTTGAGGAATCTTGCTTGCAAACAAGTCTTGCCGGACAGCAGAGGCCGACTAGCGAGTCTTTGTTTGTTATTTTGTGAGGTGTAATGCCTTTTTGCAGTCATGCCTGATCCAACTGTTTAAGTGTTTTTGTTGCGATTGAACCGTGCGCCACGAATGTATTGCAGGTAACTAGGACAGCAAACCTATTCTTGGGTTCTTTGCTTCCCAGCCCGTTTGCGCCCTTCAGCATTGGCGGAGTCTTACATGCTGGTATTTGCCTCATCACTTTGGTATGACTCGGTCAGACTGACGGGCCTAAAGAGCACTTGAAACCAATGTGTCAAATAAGTTTCGTACACTGACCAAACCGCCCGGCTCACCTATATAGTAATAGTTAATTGGCACCCAAGCTTTGATGATCTGGTGAAGAGCAAGAACACGATGGGAGAGTCTTGTTTTATGATGTTTATGTTTTGTCAAGGGACTTCTGATTTCTTGCGAACTCCGCCAGTCATCTAGTCCATCCAAAGGCACACCTTCCAGTAATCTTCCGCTTTCCGAGCTGAGGAAGGCCTATCCACCCAATGGAATCCCAACTGCCAAGAACCAGACTCCCGATGATTTCCTCTTTCAGGCTGGGTGGATGACTCCACATTCTCACGTTGTTGCGCCGCGTTTCTCGATGCAGAAAACCCAGGAAAAAATAAAAGTAGAGAAACATGGATTCCAGGAATCCAGAGTGGGCCTTCTTCTGAACTTCATGATGCCCTTTACTGAACCTCTTCTGAACCCTTGATTCACTTTGCAGTGACGCTGGTGGGTGGGTGCCTCAAGACTGCATGATTCCTGAGGATTCTCTTGGTGGCTGGAGATCTGTGCAACGAATGCATCACGCATGAGACGCATGAGCTGGGATCACCAGCGTGGATCACCAGCTCCGGATGAGCTGGGACCGCCTTGATTTGGGTTTGAAACCGTTGGGGTTTGACTCTTTTGAACATCACCTCGAGGCGTGCCAATATTCGGTGAGCATGGCCAGTTTGGATCGAGCTCTTCAGAAGGTGCGGGTCCTGTTGGGGAGATGTTGGCCACTTCGGCCAGTGCAGAGTTGCTCGAAGGTCGACTTGTGACCCACACCAATTGAAACCAAAATCCGTATAGATCACAATAAATTAACAATATATAATATATATTAATATATATATACAGTATATATATCGTGGTCCTAAATTGAAAAGAGGATTGAAGGTCTTTTTTTTCATTCTTTTTTTTGTCCCTCCCCGTAGTAGCTCCTTCTCCACCACCACTTCTTGTTCTCGCCTCGAGGGCGCCAATGTCAACGCGCGGAACAAGGACGGCAACTCTCCATTGATGATTGCCTGTCGCTCGGCGCTACACGCCCGGACCCGGTCTCCCGGCGGGTCCAGCGGGTCGGTCTTTGAAGCCTCCGTCTGCAGACGGAGCTCGGGAGACGTCGGTCCATCGATCGTGACGCAAAGCCCGAAGACCATCCGGTATATCATGTTTTACTGATCGGGTCTTGTAAGTATTGTCTCTTATTTGACCTTAGCACATTGGGTTTTGTTCTGTTCTTTGTGTAGTTGGAGCTTTGATCCTCCACAACCACAACTTGATTGTTCTTTGGAAGCCCTGAGTTGAGCCGTGTTCTTTTTTGGTCATGCACTGAAGCTCCTACCTGGCAGTCCGTGTAGCCTTTGCATAGCTGTGTACCGTGTAGCCTTCGCTGAAGTGGAGGACCGAAGTTCGACCAAGCCATACGACACTAAGCATCAATCATCCACGAAATCATTCCAGACACGACTAATGGGACTGCCATAGATGCCGCCCCATTGACCCCCCAAACCACCCCAACTGATTGGCATATAATGGCAGTCCCATTAGTCGTGTCTGGGATTGGTGGGCATGGGATATTCCTGATCCTTCACGCTGTTTGGTAAGGCCAGAATTGGACCGCGTCCCAGTACATGCCCTTTGTGCAGAAGCTTCTGGACCCGGAGTGGCCAGGTGAAGCGGTTTTTGAAATGTCTGGCCCGGTGCTTTTGTTCCTTGGAAGTCAGCGAGCACATTGTTCTTCAGAGACATGTTCTATAGTGTTGTGTGGTGTCTTCTGTAATCACATCGAAAGGTGAACAGTGGCTACATATGTTTCTTTCAGACATGTTTAAGCAATAATGCGGTGTCTGCTGTAAGCACATCGGAAGTGAGGGTGAACACCGGCTACTTGTGTACTTCAGAGTGTTCAATTATTGTGTGGTGTCTTCTGTAAGCACGTCGAAGTGAGGTGAAAAGCGGCTACTTTCGTTCTTCGATATGTGGTGTCTTCTGCAAACCCATCGAAAGTGACGGTGAACACCGTCTACATATTATGTTTCTTTCAGACATGCTTATTAAGAATTAATATGCGGTGTCTTCTGCATGTCGAAATTGAGGGTGAATCCTCAACACTGGCTAGTTGTGTTCTTCAAACATCTTTAAGCATTGTTCGGTGTCTTCTGCAAACCCATGGAAATTTTTCAGGTGAACATCGGCTACTTTGATATGTTCCTCAGACATGTTCAATCATTCTTGTGATTGCCAATCTCAACCTTTATTGGTTTCTGCTTCCACGCACACACCGGTAGGTGTCCGGTCACCTTCACTTCGCGAACACCACTGAGAAACCCCACTTCGCGAACACCTCGCGTTGTTGCGAGGATCAGAAGGCCGAGGTGAACGTGGAAAGCGGATGGGGCTTCACCCCACTGGACAAGGTGGGGATCATGGTGCTTCTGGCGGATGTATCTGGGTCAAACCCTGACATCGACCGTTTTTTGAATCTGCATTTTGTTATTTTTGTTGGAGTGAGAGAATAGGTGCGAATGTTTAGGCCTAAAGCGTCTCACTCTCATTTACCAAACTTGCCAAACTCTCGAACTAAGACAGCCCGATGTGGACCCTGAACATGCCAAACTCCTGGATCTTTATGCTGCCCTTCACTGGCGCCGCCCCCCCGTGTAGCAGTCCCTCAGCTTCGACTGGAGGTCGCAGAGCTGTTGAAAGAGGCAGAGCTAGCGCGAAAGCAAGAGATCCTAGCCCAAGAGGCGCAAGAGATCGGCTCTTTGGACCGTTGGCGGGGGGCGGAACCTTAGGGCAGTTCGGAGGGACACTCGGATTGAATCAGAGGTTGGACCCCACAGCCCCACAGGTCAGGCCGGAACTTGTCTTATGAGTTCTTATTATGGTTAATAGTGTGATACTGATATATATATATAGTGAGATATGAATAAGATGGTGACTTTGGTGACCTGATGGTTGACTCACTGAGAGGATGTGGTTTTCAAAGTTTAAGGATCCTTCAAATCACTTCAAAGCTCTTCCGATCGATCGCCCTCCGATCGCAGGAGAGGCGCGAGATTATGGAGGGCCGATCCATCGTTGGCTACGGCTACGGCACGGCGGAGGCGAATATGGCACACGGCCGAGACAGTTGGGTGTAGGGCACAGCCGGCTGGATGTCTCAAGTCAAGGGGTGAGTAGATGGGAGAGTGTTTTAGAGTTTTTTCCAACTTGGAACTTGCGTACTCGCCTGGTCTAGTAGAATCTGACAGACTCATGAGCAATCTGCTTCTCCAGGAGCAGCGTCAGCGGCTGATTCCCAATCAGCCTTTAGCTGATGAGCTTGATACCTTCAAATGCCTTCCTCAACTTCGGGCGCCTTGGCTTGGTAGATGGAAGTGGATCCTCTGAGAGCGAGCCCCACTTCCTGGTGTTGATCCCGCTTGACATGTAAATGTTATATATTGTTAAAAGTATATATTACGTTTATTTGTTATAATCATAAGTTACTTTAATTGTTATATATATATATATATATATCCAATTTGTTGGCCGTGCAGTTGACTTGGGACACATCACCATGGCAAGACTTGGCAAGACTGGGTCTTTCACGAGACCCTTTGTGGGCTCTAACCCTGTGGAGCCGAAGTGCCGCAGCTCCCCACGCTCCGCGCCCCCCAAACCGAGGAGTGTAAGAAGCTTTTGGAGTCCAAGGGTGCCAAGCCTGGAGATGCGCCCTTCAACCCCGCTTACCTCACCACCGAGGCGGTCGCGTGTTTTACGCGAGTGCGCGCGACCGGAGTTGACGGCGCGAGGAGAAGAGCCAAACAGGTCGTATAGGCAGACCTGGCCCCATCGTCCAACTGCACTTCAAATTTGAAGGTTTTGCACATCTTGCAAGTTGGATATAGTAGCCCCTAAAATGAAGAATCACCACCGAGCCTCTTCTCGAGAACAATTCTGTTTTCTTTTTACGAGGCCAAGTTCGTAGGAGGCAGAACTGCCTTCTTTCGGCTTTTCTATGCATAACTACTCACCTTCGTTTCATTTGGGGACCAACTTACAGCGGGTCTTTTCATTTGGAGTCCAAACCCAAACCACCAGGCCACCCCGCAAACCCTCCGGGGCTTTTGAAGCGTCACACCCTGAAGCAGGAGTTCGTGGAGCGTCGGGATGCCATCCTGGAGAGGTACAAGGAGAGCGAAGAAAAAAAGGGTGCGAAAGAAAGGGGGTTGGCTGTAGAGAGATGATGGTTCAACTTCATTGAAAACACATCCACATCTCTTCAAGCGGTGTAAGAAAATCCATCTTAACGCGGTGTAAGATAGAAGCTCTTCAAGAACACGTCCGGACTCTATTTGACAAACATGTAAAAAGGTGATGGAACGTATTTGTTTGCCAAGGACCATTGTGCACTTCCCTTCTTGTTGGAGGGAGGTTGCCAGGTGTTTGGTGTTTGTGTGTGTGTGTGTGTGTGTGTTTGTGATTTTCACAGGGGTTTGCACCTTTTTTGCTTTAGGAATTTGGCATAGCCATACTTCAGCGATTTGGAAGAGGGATGTATATAATAATCATGAGATGGAACACAGCAATAAAGGTCGCCAGACTTTGGATCGTTGGCCCTTGGCTATACTCGGAACTCTTGCAGACTCGTGGTGAGGGAACCCTTTGCTTATCTCTTCCATCCCAAGGTAATTCTCGGACTCGGAGCAGTATCTTTGGGCTGCCTTTTTACGCGATCAACCAGGCGTAAGACGGCCCAGCAGCACACGCCGTGTAAGAGAACCTCCCAAATTCTGGGTTTTGCCTATTATGAATAGTATTATGCGATTCTTCCTGTCTATAATTGGGATTTGGGGCATGTCCTCTATACATGAAAAAACAGAACATGTTGTGTAGCAGGGCAGGGGCACATCTCACCGGACATCACCGGACCCTGCGATGAGCCATGGACGCGTTCCTCGCAGGACGCGAAGTACAGATATACCGGCCACTGAGCGTTTCCGGCCCCTGTTCGGATGGACCTCAAATCTTCAAGTCCAGATAGTATATCAACGGATACTTTGATTCACAACGATAAAGGTAGAGTCCTCATATTCATTGCAAGGCGAAGTAGAAGGCATTGTCAAGATGGGAATCACCGCCAGGAGTCACAAAGAGGTGGTGTTTGGTCCCATCCAGTGAGTGGATAAGCACCATTAAGTACCCTAACCTCTATGGATAAACAACCCGACATGGAACTGCATCACCAGATGGATGTTCGTTGCCCTCTTTGAGGTGTCTCTTCCAGTGCGCGAGGTGTCTCACATGGACGAGGAAAGAGACGTGCCGCTTCCGGAAAAAGAGACGCGAGAACCGGGCGGAGTTTGGCAACGCGTTCGATTCTTTTTCAGTTAGCCGTTTTTCCGTTGTGCTTCTGATTTGAGGTTTGGAAGCCTACAAAGAACACAACCATGACTTCAGTTGATGGCCAGCAGTGTTCAGCCATGTAAGATATCCTGCGACGAAGTGGTCACCAAACAGCTTTAGATCCTAGCATGCTTCCAAGATCTTAGGTGGGTCTGGTGATGTTTGAGGGTTTCCCATGGGCTTCCTCTTCAGTCCGCCCCGAGTCGGATGGTTTGGAGTCGGATGGTTTGTCGGATGCGTGGTTTTCCCCGAGTCCTTTTCCTCCACCAAGAACTTCAGCGAGGCTTCTCACATCCTTTCTACTAGGAGCCATCGGATGTTACGTTCGGGGCTCCTGGCCTTACTACGAACGGAACAAGAAGATCAAGCATCTACTAGGAGCAAAGAGCAAGCACCTCATCAAGCGCCCCCAGATCATCCCCGGACACCAGATCGATCGAGGCGACCTGCACCAGTGCCCATCGTCATCAGTTGCGAGCTGGACCCCTGCAATGCACTGCTGGCTCGTGTGACATCCCAGAGTGCCGCTGAGTGCCGAGCTTTTGAGGGTCGCAATGGAGTGACCAGACTACCAGACCTGACTGAACTTGGCCTCTTTTTTCGGGAGACGGAACTTGGACTCAGGTTTTGGAGTTGTTGGGATTCGTTAAACATGTTGATTTCAGGCCTACCCTTGTTTTGCTTGAATCAGTCTGCAAGTTTGGTTTGCTCTTTTTTGGTCAGACAACTCTTTATTGCTAGACCTGAACACCTGATCCATTTAGTGACACGCATTCCGGATCATTGATGCCTTGTACATGGATGGGGGTTGACAGACCCAAAGATCACATATGTACTCTTTTACTATTTGACTTTATATATTATTTAATATCATTTTCACAAGGTTTACACTACTAGTAACTAGTACACTCCGTGAAAGAAAAACAAAGTTTTTCTGCTGGACAAGTAGAGTGGCAGCTGGGGTGGGGCCATTTTGGCTCAAGGTTGCTGCCACTATGTTGTTTTCATGGTGGTGGTGGCTGCCCCTCGCGTGCAGCGATGTTTCCGGCCGTTGCGGCCGCGATGGCCATGGACAAGATCTCGGACATGACGGCCCATTTTCGAGTGGAGGAAGAGCTTTGGTCGGCCTTCACGCAGGAGGTGGGTGCCCCTGGAGACGATCCGCGCTTGCTTGCAGCGCTGCCGGGCAAATTGGTGGCTGCGGCTCTGAGTCAAGCCTCGTTGCCCGGGGGCCGACCGCTTTCTGCAATTCAGGCTGCACAAGTGGGACTGGTCTGGAAGCTGGCGAGGCGCATCATGTACACGAAGGGAGGGGGGCTATGGGAGGACTGGACCGAAGAGGACCCATGGGATGCACCCTCAACAACCTCACCATCGAAGCGGACTGCAACTTCATCCAAGAAGGACGACAAGGACACGAAGGAAAGGACCCTGAAGTTCGCCCAGGTACTGGACCAAGGCGACGACGGCGAATTCGAAGTCCTCAACGAGGACGACAAATTGCTCCTCCTGCAGAAGTACATCAACACGACGGGGTCGATGCCGGAGGAAGAAGAGGAGCCGACGATAGAACAGTTGTCGGCGCTGAAGAAGAAGTTGAGCCTTGGGAAGCCACCCTACGCGGACTTTGGAGTATTCGTCCCTTTCGGACGGAAGGCATTGAGGGCTTCGAAGTACAGGACATGGGTGCCCACGGCGGATGGCTACATTTCGAAGGAATTGCCAGGCCCATCGAACTTCACTCAATGGCGGGCGTGCTACAGAGTATTCACCACGGCCATGATCATGTTGCAGGAATGCTCACTGGCGCCCTTGCATGGATACGAACTGTTCGTGGAGAAGATGGTTCGCCTGTACCCGGACGCCTGGCATTTGGTGTATGCGGCGGACGAGATGGCCAGGAGCGAACTGTTGTCGAGGCTACGCCTGAAGATCACCATGGGCACGAAGGAAGGCAAGGCACCTCCCCCGCACTACGACGAAAACAAACCATGGGAAGGGGTATTCAAATTGATCCCGAACGAACTGAAATTTTGGCAGGACCAGATTCATGGTCCAGCCCTGGCATGGTTAGCCAACGGAGCCAAAGGGAGAGCACAAACCCCTCAGGAGTCTATAGCCCAAGGGAACTTGCGTGGAGGAGCCGAGGCACTACTACCAGTGATGGAGTCAGGATCATTTGGGATGACTTCAACATCGGCACCGTCATCAAGTCGAAGGCAGGTCAACAGAGATCGAAAAGAAGCCAAGAAGAGGAAATGGCAGGCGGAAAGGGAAGAATTGCAAAGACTCCGAGAATCCAGAAACGATGGAGGTTTCGAAAGAAGGCAAGGAGGCAAGAGCGGAGGGAAGAAAGGAAGAGGGGGGAAACAGGTCGAATCGATCTGTTTCTCCTGGAACAACGGGAATTCGCCATGTGGGTCATTGCCGCCGGGTGCCGAGTGCGCGAACACGGTGAAGCGGATGCACAAGTGTTCATCCTGCGGGTCGCCAGGTCACCCGCAACACAAATGCGGAGCCAAGAAGTGAAGGGTGGCGAACATGGAGGCGAATCAGGAGGAAAAGATGAACAAGACGAAGGGGGCGAAAGACGGGAGGAGGAAGGAGGAAGCGGTGAAGGGGAGAGCAACGAAGCAGCCAGAAAGAAGCTAGAGGGCAAGTTGGCGGACTATGTGAGGAAGAGAAAGTTCCGCTTCCTTCACCACTATGCAGGACCGAGGGATCCTTTGGGCGCTGCGGTACATCGGAATGCAAGGAAAGCGGGCCTCAACGTGGAAGTCATCGCGGCAGAGAAGGACTGGGGACAGGACTTGTGTGATGACGAACCCTACAACACTCACCTTGGTTGGGCGAAGGAGGGATTGATTGACGGGTTCCATGCGGGCTTTCCTTGCTCCACGTATTCGCGGCTGAGGTTCAGGGAAGCACCAAACCTACCAGGACCTGTCAGAACCCGAGCCGAACCGTATGGGCGGAAGGTCAACACCCCGGAACAGCAGCGGGAGTGTGACAAAGGAACAGTGATGATGGCCCGCTCAGTTCAGCTGGCAGAGGAGATGGCCAAAGCTCCCACCTCCTCCATCGTGTGCAAGGCCACTTCGATGGAAAACCCGCCACCTTCGGACGTGGAGGACCACGTATCGGCTTGGGCCATGACGGAGATGGTGGGCTATCTGAGGTTGAGCGGAGTGAAGATCGCCCTGTTCAACACTTGCGCGTATCAAGCTGATCGGGCAAGAGGAGATCGACACTGGAAGCCACAGCAATTCGCAGGCACGCTCTACGGCATCGAGTCCTTGAACAGGGAGTGCAAATGCGGCAGCGCTAGGCACCGTCCGATCGTGGGGAAGAAGGAGTCTCAGGAGTCGGGAGAGTACCCACTGGAGCTGTGCGATGCCTATGCACGCCTGTTGATGGAGCACTTCCGGATGATGGCCGAGGCCGAGTACCTGGAGGGAAGGTTGAGGGAGGGCTCACAAGAACACGATGCGATGTCCACTTGCGACGCGGCTGCAACACAGATGAGGGAGAAGAGAAACCGAGAGGGCGTGAAGTTGTCGCCATCCCCTGAACTTCAACGCGATCGCCGAGGAGGACTTGAAGGTGGCGGGATAGTTGAAGCACCGACGACATCAAGAAGGGCCAGAGAAGAGGACGAGCGACAAAAGTACAGGGGGCGAGGGACAAGGACGTCGGCGGAGCGGAGGCGGTCGAGGTCAAGGAGTCGAAGGGGGCGAAGCAAAGACAGGAGGAGAGAAGTTGAAGCCGAAAGGAAGGCGAAAGGCCAAAAGTCAGGAGACATGAGATGGAAGCCCGGAGAAGGAAAGTATGGGATGCTGAGAGAGGAGGTGAAGAAGGAGCAAAAGCTTAACCAGCAGGACTTCGTGGGTGGCATGAAGAACCCGATGGAGACGGTAGAAGGACTACCACCCTTGCAGAACCTGGGAAGAAGGATCTTGGGAGCTTGGGAACGGCATTGCACGAAACACCCCCAGGCGGTGAAGGTGGGAGAGACTTACGGGACACCGGAGTGCGTGCTGGAATGGAGGTGGATTGAAAGGTGGAAGGAAGAGCTGAGGAAACTCACCGGGGCGAAGGGAGCAGCTAAGGTGAAGCTGACGGAGAAGTGGTCCTATGAGTCGCCGCTGGATTACAACCTCTTTGAAGCATGGGGCCGAAGAGCCAATGACCCTGAGACGGAGGTGCACAAGTGGATCAAAGATGGAGTGCCGTTGGGCATAGAACTACCCATCAAAACGTGCGGCATCTTTCCACCTACACTGAAGGGCGACGAGATACAGGAAGGAGGGGATGTCCAAGCAGCGCAGGGCTTGCGCGAGGACATTGGCAACTACACGTCGGTGGTGGAGCAGGAGGAGGACGCGAAGGTGGAGATCGACAGGCTTATCCATTGCGGGTACGCCATCAAGGTGAAGAAGGGAGAAGCAGAGAAGAAAGGCTTCCGAGGCACAACGATCTCCAAGCTGGGCCTCATCGTGAAAGTCAAGGAGAACGGCGCCAAGAAAAGGAGGATCATCATAGATCTGCGTCGGTCAGGGGGCAACAGAAAAGCAAAATTGCCCGAACGACTGGTGCTGCCTCGCCCGGCGGATGCAATAGCAATGCTGCGAAGGATGCATGCGGCGAATGGAGCGACAGTGAGACCGCAGGACAAGGTGATGGAACTGGTGATGATCGATGTGTCGGACGCTTACATGCACCTGGCAGTGGCAGAGGAGGAGAAGGGTCATTGTCTTGCGCCAGCCCTCGATGGAGACCACTGGCTGCTGTTCGTAGCCTTGCTGTTCGGCTACAAAACGGCCCCACTGACTTGGAGCAGGGTGGCGGCTTTAGTGGCACGGCTGGTGCAATCGATAATACCAGCCGACAGAGGGATGCACCAGGTCTACCTGGACGACTCGCTATGGGCTTTGTGCGGGACTCTGGCATCGAGGAATAGCACCTTGTCTTGCATTCTCACCACAATGGCCGCCTTAGGACTGCGGCTGTCGCTGGCGAAGGGAGAACGGGCGGCCGCAGTGACTTGGATCGGAGTGAACTTCAAGTTGGTAGCACCGGATTACGACTACTTGCTGGTGACCCTGCCGGAGAAGTTCATGGATGAACTGCAAAAGCAACTGCAGAGTTGGGAAGGAAAGGGGATGATCGGGGGCACGGAACTTCGCAAAGCTGCAGGCCGGGTAGCTTGGCTAGCAGGGGTACTACCCAGAGCGAGGTGGGTGACAGCCTCCTTGTATGCAGCCCTCTACAGCCATGAGGAGGACGTCGCCGCAGGCAAGGAAGCAGAAAGGAGGGCACAACGGACGGACGGGCGGCAGAAGGACCACCTGATACCAGTCAAACGAGTGGAACGAGCTCGAGTTTGGCTGATAGCGTACTTGGCGGCAGCGAAGGAGCGGCCGATCAGGAAGTTCTGCCTCTACAAGAGTGGGAAAGCTGAGGTGACCATCATGACGGACGCCTCGCCTCAGGGGCTGGGAGCGATCCTCATTGTGAATGGCAGGGCGACGAAGGCACTGGCATCTCCCGTGGGGACCCTGGACGCGAAACTGTTGGGTTTTGCATTGGGAGAATCCAGCTCGCAAGGGCTAGTGGAGACTCTGGCCATCTTGGTCGCTCTCAAACATTGGGGCAAGCTCCTGACCACGGTGAGTGTCGCCGTGAACGTTCAGTCGGACAGCGTGACGGCGTTGGCGATGACTCAACGGTTCTCCAACTCTAGCCCGGGACTCAACTTCCTGGGCGCAGAACTGGCAGTGGAATGCGAAGCCTTGGGCCTTGCTGACCTGAAGCCCATACACTTGCCAGGAACGGCCAACAAAGAAGCTGATTTCCTCTCAAGGCCAGACTGTTGGGCCACGACACCGTTGCCGGAGGCCCTAGCAGGTATCCAGATCGAAACGCCTGCTGAGCGGACGACAGAGTGGTACCGCTTGAGACCTCCAGGGCCGGACGAAGCAGACTGGCAAGGTTCGGAAGCTTTGTTGGCTGCCTGGGCAAACCGTTAATACGGCAGCCACACAGGCCAGTGAAAAACGGTGCTAGGGAAGGGGGAGGAAGGAAGGGTCGGGGGGAGGTTTGAACCTCGGAACCCGGTAGGTCGGCCGTTTTGTCGTATGGGCAGTCTTTCGCAGGCTCAAAATGGAGGTGGCCCTGAGCCAACCGCCCCTAGACCCCCCTCTGCTGGTAGTAGAGGGCGGCTGGACACCCACATGGCTAGCCTGCTTAATTTTCTACCTCGTAGGCACCGGGACCCTGTGCCACATCGGAGCCTTCTACTACTGCGCGAAGGTGGTACGACACAAGTGGACGCAAGTTCGTCTTCCGCGGGATTCCCCATGGAGGTCTTGGTTGGCAGAAGACGAGAAAGAGGAGTCGGAGGACAACGCCGAGTGGGTGGAACCGTGGGACATGGACCGCGATTTGGATCAAGCCTGGACGCCACCTATCAACGACATGCCGGATGGAGAGCTGAGGTTGAGGCACAGGGACACCCTGAACAACACGAGGGCAGACACGTCGACACCAGAACAGTGGAGGAGTCTTTTGGACAGGATGGCAACTCCTCCGAGAGATACACGTTCCCCACCGCCCTATTGGTCAGCGGAACTAGACTCACCAGGGGAGTTTTCCGCGGAGAGGACGACACCGGGGGAGTCTTCGAGGATGGCCTCACCACCGCTCAGGGAATCAGTGAGGGAATCTGGGGACATGGTATGGCTGGTGACGAGGAGGCTCAACACGAAGGACAACTGGCAGCTCTGAGAAGGGGAGATGAAGAAGAAGAAGAAGCAGGGCCATCGGACGAGGAGAGTTTTCCGTTTCCACCGCAACCACCAGATCTGGGGACGAGCTCAGTGTGGAACCCACTACTGGCAGGGGAGACCTTGATCGAGGAGGAAGCGAAGGAAGCAGGACTACTATGGTTCCTGAAGGGGGGAGCCAAGAGGAAGAGAGAGGAGGAAGAGGCTCCGCGAGGTGGGAGCCGCTTCGAGGACGCATGGCAGCGAGAGGGAGATAATGGATCTCGAGGTGACGAAGGACGGAAAAGCCATGCGAAGAAAAGAATCACGAGGAAAAGGCATGATCTACCACGGCTACGGTCAAAAGGGCCCGGGGTGAAGGGAAACCAGAAACATAAGTGGAAGACAGCCATCCAGACAGCTCGGAACTTCAGGCTGAACAGGATCAAGAAGGATTCGGCGATGTCGGACTTCAGGAAAGAATACTACGCCAATTCGTCGAGGAGGGCAAGGGCATCGATCAGGAAACTAGAACCGCCCTGGACCACATCCCGATTGAGGAAGACAAATTGGTACATGGCGACAAGGAGGACGAGGTGACGAAGGGCCAAATTATTGAAGCCTGGCGGAAACTATTTGGAAGAAAGGTGTCGGGACACTCTGGAAGGAGATCAGGAGCCCTCCAATACATCCGCAGAGGGTGGCATGTGCCTCAAGTGGCTTATTTGGGAAGATGGAAATCCAATGTCATCTTGGAATACGCGGAGGAGGCCTTGGAGAGCATGCCAGTCAAAAGCAGAAAGGAACCACCGCCGGCGACTACCTCGTCCAACAAAGACCAAAGGGAGGAAGTGAAGAATGTGAACGTGACGAAGGTGAAAGAAATAACCAGAGAGATGGAGACAAGAATGAAACTCGAATTGGAGAAGCTGAAGGTCGCTCAAGACAAGTTGGAAGACTCTTTGGATAGGTGGGAAAAGATGTCCGCAAAGCACCAAGGCTTGCTTCCTCCCACCGTAATTTCGAAGAATGGCACCATCCACGAAAACAAGCGGCAACCGATTGCTTCACCGGTGATGAGCTGGCATACAAAATGCGGTTGGCTGTATGGGGCATCGAACTTTGCCTTCGGAACCAACCCGACGACTGTGACATGCCTGAAATGCATCACCATCGCGCCAGGCAATGAGGAAAGATTTGGCAATGGTGGAGCTTGAAATGAAGACAAAGGTTTTCAGCAGCGGCAAAATGATCTGAGCGATGTTAGCTCTTGGGTGGAAAGATGCCACCATTGTCGTGAAAGAAAAACAAAGTTTTTCTGCTGGACAAGTAGAGTGGCAGCTGGGGTGGGGCCATTTTGGCTCAAGGTTGCTGCCACTATGTTGTTTTCCCACCCACCCACAGCCAAGGAAAGATTTGGCAATGGTGGAGCTTGAAATGAAGACAAAGGTTTTCAGCAGCGGCAAAATGATCTGAGCGATGTTAGCTCTTGGGTGGAAAGATGCCACCATTGTCAGTTGCGGAAGAGGTACGTCAGGGAGTTGTTCATTTTGTTGTGGATGCTAGGTCCCACAGAACAGCTCTCCAAAAAGCAAAGTTGAGCCTTCCAAGTCTGGCTGTCATCGGGAAGGTAGCGAGGGAAGCCCACACTTTGTTTGTTTGGCCACGAAGCTTCTGTTCTCAGTCACAAATCCATCTACCCTCAGCCCTCAAGGATTCTATATGTGTGGTTTCTCGTTTTATCTCGTTTTCTGTTCCTTTGCCCTGGCACATCCTGGCACAGCCTGGCACATCTGCATTCCATGAGAATGATTCCAGATTCTCCCTCACAGATCCTATGCCATCCGAACGTACCTGGGAGAGTATCCGTACCTGGGAAGACGAGCAGCCGGATCTGAGCCGGACCCCATTGGTGGATGCGATGGGTCCATCGGTTTGCAGGCTCGATCCACGGCTTGGCGGGTTTGGCCGAAGCCATCGAGGTTGGGGGGGTGGCGGGGGTGAGCAGCCTGATGACATTTGATGTTCATGCTAGGTAGATTGGAAGAACCATACTCAAGCAATCTGCCACCCAACTACTCAGTCCCTTGCGCAGATCTCTTTGCTCCGCCCACAGATCTCGGTCCACGCCCATCGGCTGCACTTGATAAAGAAATCCCAACAGCTGCCATGGCCGTGCCGTGGACATTGCTGACCATGCTGAGCTTGTTGGAGCTGGGCAATGCCTTGAAATCCACCACTCGACCGGTCGTGTTGCCCCTGCAGCGGCCACAGCGTCATGTTGAACGCCATGGCATTACGATGGCCAGCGGCAGCAGTGACTTCGGCTGCGGATTTTTGTCGTTGGAGGGGTTTTGGGGTTGGACATGAACGGTTCATGGTTTGGATGATTTTCTCAAGAGCCCTTCTGCTTTTTTCCCCGCTGGAACACACAGTCAAAGAGAATAATGTCAAACATGTCCAGGCCATTTCAGACGTTGGGCATGCTCTCAACATCAGCATGATCTCTCTATTTCAACTGGCGGTCGTTGAATTGGGACTGGGGGTTCTCAAATGGATGTTGTAGCCGAGGGCCGAGGGTATGTTTTCTAAGTGAGCCATCCATGGCAACTTTTCCAGTGATGGCTATTCATGGATGATCTCCATGATCAAGTGATAGAGCAGTTTTTGTACCGCACGTGCGACCATGTGGTCCGCGTTCCTGCCAGGACTGTCTTCTGTTAAAACCGCGCGTTTGGCTTTCGGACGCGACTGAGGGGTGGCGGGCACCATTTGCTCCTCCAGGCAGATGAGAGACCTCGCTTCCCGGGAATTCTCCCTCGCAGCAGGGCAAAGTGATGTCGGAGTGGTACACTTGAAGGACCGGGGGAGAGCGGTCCCAATGTACGACCGTGGAAGAGAGCGGGATTTGGGATCTGTGTTTGACCGTGTTTTGCTGTTTGGACCGTGTTTTGTGAACCAAAGTTCACAGAAATCTCTTGGTTCCAAACTTCCAGACTGGACGGTGTGCGCCGTGGCACGGAAACCATGCCTGAGAGACGTTTTTCATTCGACGCAGAAGCTGCCTCAATGCCTTGAGTTGCACCCAAACGCAGCTTGTCAAAAGCCCTCCCTAGTTCGAAACCCACAGAACACAGGTTTGCAAGATTGCAAGATTAATATCAAGAAATATCAAGAATATATAACTATACTATAAATAGAGATTGCAAAACCTAATGGCATATGAGCATACAGCATTATATGGATAGATGGACAACCCTTCATATGTGTCCCATCTTGGGTTTGTCTTCCCCACAAAGACAAAGAGCGTTGTGGCAGTATTTTGGTTTGTGCATATACCAGGTACGAACACGATCAACAACGCAAACAAACAAACACGATTAACGCAGCAAATCTGAAACACCGAAAGCCGCTTTTTGCCATGGCAAGTCTGGAATGAGCTGTGCTAGTCTGGCATGAGCTGTTTGCCAGTTCCACACAACACAAATACATGCATTACAATGTACACTGCACATGTTGCAGTTGGTCAAAGCATTGTAGAACGATGAAGAAATGAAGACGATAAGGCTAAAAGGAGCTAAAAGGATCTTCAAGGGTATAAAGGGAAAAGGTAGAGTTATCATGTCTATTTATGTAAGCCAATCTCATTTACTCCACCAGGTTGCTATATAAGCGCAGCTATTTCTTCTTGAAGCTGCTAATTCTCAGAGTCTCACCCTACCAGGATCTCTCAAGCACGGAATACGTGGGAGTGCTGGGTGTGGGCAGCAATTGCTCCGGAGGCAGCACAGACTGCCGTTCTGAAGTGTGATTGATGTAGGTGGTGCAGACTCAAGAATGCACTTGCAAAGTTGCAAGACGTCCGGCAAATTTCAAGGAGTTCTCAAGCATCTCAGATGACTAAATCAATCAGCATTCCACTCCAACCCACAAGTCCGGTGAATTCCTGTTTGACGCATGGGGAAGGTGGCCGATTTTCCATCCCGTCATGTCTTCACCGAATGCTCTGGAGAGGAGTTGGCCGACCAAAAGCCACCTACACGGACCTACACCACCATACTCCAATGTCGACGCATGATTATATGTCCCTCCTCCAGGACTCTTCAGAGGCTTTACAATCCATGTCTGGGGAGGTTTTATTCATCCAAGAGTCTAGATCCTCTTGTGGCTGCTGGCTGCTGCCCTCTCGTTGGTCTTCCACCCGCAAGGCCCCTGCCGCCCAGCCGCCGAGCTCTATGTGGTCTACGACACCGGCTCTGCCGATCTCTGGGTCGCGTCGGACCTCTGCACCGCGGGGCCGTGCACGCGCGACGGCCGTGCCGAGACGCACTGGAGGGGAAACGAACAGACTATAAAAGCAATAGGGTTTCGTGATTACCTTAGAAAATTCAACCATTTATCAGTAAGTATACTCTTGAGATCTTTGGAGCATTACTGATTTCTTCCACAATCTTCATCCACTCCGGATGTTGGTCTCTCCTGAGGCCATCGCTTCAATCGATCCACTTCCAGTACCTTCCAGCAAGACCAGATCCTTGGTCAGAATGACACGCACAAAAGGGTTTGGTTTGACATTGGACAAAGGTTGTTTCCAGTCTGAGCAGGAAGGCAGAAGGCATCGCGATTAGCTTTGCACAGTTGCAGGGCCCCCAAAACAAGAGTCAGATGTTCTTCCTTAAAACTTGTCTTGGAATTGAGGAAAGAGAAGTCATGATATTCAGTGTTTATCAAGATGAAGGCATCATTTGGAGACCGCAAATGCTGAGACCTCACAGATAAAAGACCTGACCAACCTCAACACATCACTCTTTACAGGGTAAGCATATTATATGTAAACATGTCAAAACACATCACAAAAGCCAATGGTCATTTATGCGCTATAGCGACCGCCAAACATCAAGACCTACACCAGCCGAACTAAACGTCGAACATCCGGAAATTCGGGCAGCCATAGGCTTCAGGTGGCCTTTTTCTGTCTCACAAAATTGACAATAGCGACCAGCTTTCTGGCAACATCACACTAAGTTTCATTTGTGCCTCGTGTTGATCCTGAAAACAATGACAGGAAAGCAGGTTCAGTCCCTGCATCATGCCCAACTCCAGCCCCATATCAAGCTAGAAACAGATCTATCTATTTGGTGTATGACTTCCAGGGGTCCATGTTCCAGCTAGTCTACGACTAGAAGTCACCACACGCCAAAGTCATTTCACAGTTACTTCTTACAACGCAGTAACTGGGAAGCTTTGCAAGTTTGCAGCCTCCGTCGTGACCATGCGCTGCTTTCAGCTTCACATTCTGCCCACCGATTCCGCTCCAGGCACCCTGACGAGTTCCAGACGGACTACGCCAGCGGGCGGCTCGCGGGCGTCTTGGGTCGTGACCAGGCGAACGGGTGGAGCCGAAGCTCGAGCAGCCGCAGCGTGGCCCCGATGTGCTTTGATCTGCACCGCGGTGTCAGCAAGAATGGATGTGTCATGATGCGTCGATGTATCACGTCTAAACAATGAGAAGAATCCTAATTGTCCCTTCCAATCGTCCGGAGGCATTTGGTTCATTTTCCACTGGTGTTGATCAAGGGCCCCACTCGGACTCGGACGGTTTTTCACATGTTGTCACACCCCCTCCGGCCCTTCGTGGGTGGTTCTGGTGGATGTTTGTTCCGTCCTCTTCCTGGCGTCTTCATCGACTGGGCCACCGGATCTGCGTCGACCCAGCGTCGCCGTCGGCCAGGTTTGGGTGGGCCCCTATGCCGCCCAGTCAGCCTTGGGGCTCATCTCAGAGGAGCGATTTCATCCGGACATGATGAGGGCGGACCGCGATGGCAGGTTGGTGTTTTTGGTGGAGAGATGCCGGACAAATGTATGAGGAATCTCATGAAATGCAACATTGTTTTTTGGTAGGGTTTCTGTGAGTTGATTGGTTCACGGAGACTTGGTTAACTGGGCTAAGGCAAACTTGCAACCTCCTCTTGTTGGCTGCTGTGTGTGTGAATCACACAAACACATTGACATTGTCGTCGCAGAGGGGAGAGACAACAGCGAGGTCATTGTCATACCAGAAACTCACATCACTCTGGGACCTGATCTGTATAACATGGGATTTGCTAACTTCATGAACAATGTCGACAATTGATAAGTCTTGAAGATCACAGTCGATCAGGTAAGTCAGATATCTATAGATATCTTAGATTGTCAGACAACTCCTGACCCACCTGACTTTCCCCTAGCAGCCTTAGCAATCCGCCAAGCACCCCGTGGACCATTCCCCACTTGCCCAAGCCAAACATCCAGGCTTTCCCAGTCCAGGTTGGACGCATTTGCCACAAAACCGCATCGTTCTGGCGGCGGACGTCCGCGGTAAACCCGCGGTACGCCGGTCTCGTCGTGTAGGAGTCAGGTTCCGCCTTTAGCTGGATGCCCATCGATGGCATCGTCGGCTTGGGCTTCGAAGCGCTCTCGGTGAAGACGAAGCCCTTGATGGACAGCCTGTTGCAGGAGAGTCCTGGCCTTACTAGGAGCGTTCGGACGCGGAATACAAGGGACGGCGATGGGACCGAGAGGCTGGGATGCCCGGAAAAGGGGAGGAGGAGGATGGTTTTTGGAAGGCTTGAAGTGAGGAAACACATATAATCATTCTATATCATTGTATGTTCTTTTTCTTCCGTCAGGTAGATATGTTTTGTTCTTGCATTTGCAAGTAGCTTCTATAGATGTTATGATTTTAGAGTTGATTCGTTGGGTTTTTCGCAGCTTGCAAAGAACACCTCCACATCCTGACCTGTTGTGGAGTTTTTCGACCTGCAAATTAAGTGCATGGATTGTCACAGACATGATTTGCCCCCACCCAGACGCTCCATGTATAATATGTGTGCCTACATTCACCCTGAAACCACCCCAACTGATCGGCAAATATGGCATGGCATACATGAAGTGTCTGGGCCATGTATCGCCGTTCTTTTTCCGGGATTTGACAGCATCATCA